AGAAGGAAGAGGGTCTGTGACTATTAAACGTTTGTTGTTGTGATGACTCAACCATGCTATAAACTGGCAACACAGCAAACTGCGCGATTGGTATGCCTGGGAGGAAAAGGGGGGATAAGAGATGCCACGTGGCGCAGGAGGCGGGCTGCAAAATTGGTGTAAATAATCGAAGAAAAAGAATTTGAAGTGAGAGTGATAGGAGACGCAAATGTTATTTTCCGTCCATGATAGCATAATTTTAAGAATATTAGGACCCAGGGGATTTTGAGAATTATACGGGAATAATCGGATTAGGTTTTGCAATGTTACGTAATAATTACGTAATAATTAGTGCACGTTCTGTGAGCTTGTGTACGTGTGGAAAATGGAGTCTTCTGATTCTGAGAGCGAGTTTTAGCCATACTCTTGATCATGTAGTAGTAGGAGAAAATAATGAAGGCCTAGCGATGGGGCAATGTGGCATACTACATGTTGTCCTCACCATGACAGGGAATACGATGCTGGTCTGCTGGACCACCTTGAATATACAGAGGACGATGAAGAAGAGAACCTGGTAGAGCGTGTAGCCGTGGATACGGAGGTTGGGTATGCGACGGAGATAGTGGTAGTCAGGCTTGTACTTGTCAGGGATGAGCGGGAGTGCCAGCCGCTGTACAAACTGGAGGGAGAAGAGGAGGAGGGATGGAGGGGTAAGGAGAGAGGGAGAGAGTGTTGGTTTGGTAGGTGGGTAGGTCTAGTCAGGACCCGTTGTCTATACAGGTACCCTGCTTCACTGGGATATACATGGGACTACTGGGCCCTAGTGTGGAATAAGCACATATTATGTGTATATACATGGCTGCAATTGCACGATTCACGTAAGCACTTTTCAACCTTCTAATACACTGAAAACATGTCTACTGCAGTACATCTACTATTAATACATATGTACCTGAACACCATAGAGGGAGGCCACACCGATGTAGAGGAATATGCCATAGAGCACAGGGAGGGGGAGGAGTCTCAGGACATAGTAGAGCATCATTGAGATCCCAATGAGAACTGCCATCACAAACAGAGTTACTCTCTGCTCTCTGGAGGGGGAGGGAGGGCGCAACTATTAACAACTGGGGGAAAGTGAATTCATAAACCGAACCAAAAAGGTTACGTGAGGGCTTCTGACATGGGAAGAGGAGGGAAATGAAGTGCGAGGGTGATAATAAGACAATTAAGATGTTAAAGGGAAGAAAAAAGCATGTAGAGGTATACGAAAATTGTGTGGGGGGAAAAAACAGAAAAGCTAGGGAGTCTGCAGAATACTGGAAATTTAAAGGAGACATGAGGGCAGTAGGAGTGGAGGGGAGAAGTGGGGCATAATTGGGTAATGGTGAACAAGACCGGAGAGGAGGGCGTGGGAATTGAATAGCATAGCAAAGATGATTGAACGCCTTTGAATGTGGACATGTGTTGGTTCGGTATGCCTGAGAATGAAGTCAGGATAAAGAGATGGGGTTTTGAGGGAGAGTGAGCGAAAGCGAATGGTCAGGCGCGATGGTGGTGGTGGCTAAGTGTTTCGAGACAAAGCCTGCAGAGTCAAGACGAAACCAATGACGATGAGTCCGTTGATCTTGGGGGGTCAGAATAAGTATAAGGATAGGTGGGTGTCCGCCATAGAAAGGGTGTTTATTTGGAAGGTTGACGAGGGAACTCGGTGGGGGGGGGTGGTCGAGGTAAGGAGGAAAACACAGACAATGAAAGGGTGGAGTGGAGGGGGACAGTAACGTTTAGGCGGCAAGGGTGGTTGGGGGATGTTTAGGGATGGAAGGAGGTCAAAGTGTAGGATAAGGACGGATGACAAGCTTTGTAAGTGAGCGGGGAAAGACAAGGGTACTAGAGCTAGGTAGAAGGGAAGTGAGGGGGGCGGTGCTGTAGGAAACTTTTACGATGACAGGGTGGGACGGGTGGGTGAAGTACGGCGGGTTCGGTGATAGGGGATAAGAGAGCGGGAAAGGTGAATATGTGAGGGGAAGTAAGTCGAACCGGTGGGATCAGGAGGGGTGGGGGTGTGCATAGAAGGTCGGGGTTAAGAAGGAGTAAAGTAGGGGCCCTTAGAAGAGGTGTAAGCGCGCGTCAGGGTAAATATAATGGGGAGAGGGGTGCGGTGTATTGAAGCGGGCGAAGATGAGTGAAGTGGGGACATAGGTGGGGTGGAAATTGAGCATATGTGGATAATAGGAAATGGGTGGTGGGTAAGACGGGGGTTAAATTAGAATGAGAACGTGGGGTGAAGGTCCGAGAGACGAGCCAAGTGTAAAGAGTATGACGATCAAGGAACGTTTAAAGATTAGGGGGCACGGGGTGAAAGGGGATCCAAGTATAGGGTAGCAAATTGTGGGGAGGTTGGGGAAAGGATATACAGTGAATGGGGGTTATGGATGAGACATAGTATTTAGAAAGAGATGTGCAAGTCGTGTAAAGAAAGAGATAATGTATGGGTGACGGTCGGAATGTGAGTGGGGGGGTATGAGAGAGGGAAAGTGTGCAGTGTGGTTGTATATTAGAAGAAGAGTTATGGTATCGCGGGATGGCCTGGGGGGGTGAGGGAGTGTGCGGGCGGGGAAAGGAGAATAGGAGTAGAGGCGATAAGCCTCAGGAAGGCACGGGCAAAAGGGTACGGACAATATGAAAGGGGAATCGTGGGTTCGACGCTTGTGGTAAAATGAAAGCTAGGGTTGAAGGTGTGAGCGGTATAGGTTAAGACTTAATAGGGCAGAAGAAAGAAGGGTGAGGATACGAGATAGTTGTGGTAATGGAGGTATTAATGGTACGAAAATGGAAGAGTAAAAGAGTGTTGAGGGGGAGGTTTACGGGGATCGGGGTTGCGAGAAGGAGTGTAGGTTAGAAGGAGGGGATAAGCGGAAAGGATTTAAGGATGGAGTCGTGTAAATAACGGGGGGTGAGTGGGGTGGTGGGGAGGAGTAAGTCGGGGGGGGTGAATAGGTAGGAGAATAAAGGGGAGTAGGACTAGATACAGTTGGGCACCCTTAACGGAGAAGTGGGATCAGTTTGGCGTTAGGGAGGGTAAGGACGCCTTGGGACGACTGGGGGTTGATAGAAAATAAAAATGTTAGGGATACGAGGGGGAGGGGAAAATGAGAACGTAGAGGGAGTGCGGATTAGGTTCTACAAAGATGGGGGCGGGGGAGGTGACAGCGTTCTGGTGGTGCTAAAGTGGAAGGTAAAATACTTAGGGGCAATTTCGAAAAGGAGCTGGGATGGAATGAGAGAATAGAATGCGGAAGGAACTGCGTTGGGTATGTCATGAAGAGAGCGAGAGGGTAGTGGGTGGGTGGGGTTATCGAGCTAAAAGTTGTGGAAGAATGAACCGTAATGAGGTGCAAGTGGAGGCAATCATTTAAGGGTGGTCAGATTGAGAAGAGAGGATAGGGAAGTAAGGGGGGTGGGAAATTGGAAACGATGGGGAGAATTAAAGCAATTAAGTAAAAGGAAATGATGGAGGGGAAGGGGAGTTCGTCTCTTTTTCCTTCTTTCTGCTCTTTCTATTTTTTCTTCTTGTTGCTCGCGGTTGCCCTTTCTGTGTCTGTTCTTTCTTTCGTGCGTCTTTTCCGCTCTTTTTCCTTTCTTTCCTTTCTTTCAGCTTCTTTCTTTCTTTGTTCCTCTCTTTTTGCCTTCTTTCTTTTGCCTTTCTTTCTTTTCTTTCCTTCTTTTTCCGTTTCCCTCTCCCCGCCCAATCGACCCATTGAACCATGGCCCTGTGTTGAAACTAAGTTGGTCTGCAGCCCATGTGAAAATATGGCATAGCCTGATCCTGTTTACACTGAGGCAGTCAGCCATTGTTCTTGGGATCACAAAGAATTTTCACACGGAATTTTCCTCTATCTAGTTACGCCAGTCGGAACACATGGGGTCACAATATTAAATGGAACTTTTCATTGGCAATTTAAGCCCTAGTCGTCTGAATGCAGGATTCCTATATAACTTGACGGGCATTGCACAGACCGTAACGTTCTAATATGGGCGAAAAATTGTATGTCGTTCCGAATATGCACGAAAATTGATCTGCCCGTGCTGCTAGCCAAAAACGTGCGGTGTTAATTCTAGTATATACATCTGCTGTTTTGTCGAACCTGACTCCAATGAACTTGGGCCTCTCTCCCGGAGCGGTGCAGGGAGACAGGATGAAGAGACTCTGTACGTGTGTGATGGAGCGGACGGTGGCCCCCACCACCCACGGCAGCCCCAGGACAGAATGGACAAATATCATGATACCCACTATGAGGAGGTCCAGGTGGTAGCCTGAGCCTTTCTGCAGTGAGATGAGGAGTGGGAGGGAGGAGTAAAGTCATCAACAGAAGGTGGTAGTGAATGAAGTGTAATAAGGACATGGCATATTATATGGAGGCAGTGTAGGCCACAAAGGTGAAATGGCAAAGTTCTATAGAGAAGGGAGAGGGGATGAGGGGGTGAGTGTGTTGATGGGCCGAGTGGGAAAGAGAAGGAGAATAATAATTCTTCTTCTTCTCTTTCCCACTCGCCATCAACACTTCACTTTCGCAACCACCCAGAGTTAAGGATGACAAGGACGAATGCAGTGAACTATGCATGTGGCACCGTGCATTAGATATACTTCTTCGATCGATCCTCTTTTACCCCCGCACGCGTACGCAGCAGGGTAATGTGATTGTTTCGCACTGTTTCGTGTTCATATGTGAATGCATGTGCATCTGGTCGAAAAATATCCAAATGGCACTTTAGAGGCCGACTTGTACAACGAAACTTGATAGCAGAAAACTTAAGCAAACTAATAGATGCATGTATAAAACACGTTTACCTCAGAAACGGTAGCCCTGCTGTTATAGTGTCGCGCTGGGCATGAAATTATAGTTCATAGCATACCAGCCATAGGTATACATAGATAGATAGATAGATAGAGAAATAAATAAAAACCACCACCAATATATCCACAAATCCCATAAAAAACACATACACAAATACACATGACATGACATGGGAGCAGGACACGGGTGCCAGCCTGAAACTGGGGCGGTGGGTAGCCAACTCTCCCCACACACCCAGTATCCAAACTCCACATCACAAACAATGACAGCCACACACGGAGTAACTGTACGATAGCACAGTCACGACAGAGTACGATACATATAAATAATTATATATATATAGATGGTAGGAAAAATTAGCAAAGATGTTCTATGTGCAACAGACCAACGCATGCATGCAGTACACGGGTTCCTTCGAACTCCTCATAGTGTATATTCCTTCAGTTGTGGGTCTCTCTATGCGACATGTGTGCATAAACAGACCAACGCATGCAGCAGTACACGGGTTCTTCGAAACTCCCTCTAGTTGTATATACCTCAGTTTGGTTTGTGTCTCTCCTATTGACATGTGCACAGACCATTCACGCAGGACATGCAGTACACGGGCGGTTCCTTCGAACTCTCCCTCTAGTTGTATATATATACCTTCAGTTTGTGGTCTCTCCTATTGACATGTGCAACAGACCAATGCTCGCATGCAGTACACGGGTTCCTTCGAACTCCCTCTAGTTGTATATACCTTCAGTTTGTGGTCTCTCCTATTGACATGTGCAACAGACCAATGCTCGCATGCAGTACACGGGTTCCTTCGAACTCCCTCTAGTTGTATATACCTTCAGTTTGTGGTCTCTCCTATTGACATGTGCAACAGACCAATGCTCGCATGCAGTACACGGGTTCCTTCGAACTCCCTCTAGTTGTATATACCTTCAGTTTGTGGTCTCTCCTATTGACAATGAGGGCAGTGATCTGCTGGTCCATGAACAGGAGGATGGTGGCCAGGACGGCAAATGGTAGGGCCATGAACGGTGCCCACGACGGGAGACCATTACCTGTCGGTGGAGAGTACACCACTATCACACCACGTTAAGGATGCCTCCCTAAAATCACCCACAAATCCTACTTCTTGGCTTAGAAATTAGAAGTACCAATGTGTAAGAAGGTATTTGTAAAGAAGGCTGAGATATGTACATTAGAGGCCGAATTCAATGACGGTAGATTTGGTTACCAGACATCTAAACGTGAACCAAGGTCGCCCCCTCTAATGTGAATGGTTCAACAAACAGTGTGTCATGCTCCAGCATACACATAGCACATTACTTTTGTATTTGTGTAGATTTTCTACTGCTACAACCAACTGTAAAGAGTAGATATTTCACATATTTGGGTGAAAGTGGTTTCAACTTCAGTTATTCGACTTAAACACCTTTGGTCCTAGTGCTTTCGAACTGACTTTCTACTGCACATGTCTGATGGAGTGTATATACATATACATATTATCCACTGACCAAGAGGGTTGATGATGAATCCTCTGTCACTGGAGTAGAACCCAGAGACAAAGACGTTGGGGACAATGAGTTTTGGAGTGTCGATGCCAGCCAGGATGTCTATGGTTACCCAGACTATCACTGCCAGGAACACCGCAAAGTCACTGATGACATGACGAACCTTAGAGCGAAGAGGCAAGTGGGAGAGACGGAGGGAGAGATGTTAGCTAGAGGAGAGAGGGATAGGATGGAGGGCGTGATGAGAAGTGGTGTTGGACAGGTGATAGTAGAGACCCAGTGTGTAAAGCAGGTATATCTATGGATGCTGCTGTCGGAGGAGGACGGTGTACAATATCTTCCTTCGCTCCCGCGCTTTGTCGTCCTCGCTTCTCTCTGTCTGTCGTTCTCGTGCGTTCTTCTCCTCGCGTCTCCTTCTACGGTCTTCTCTACCTCCCTTGTCGCGCCCTCTAGTCTCTGTCCTTTCGTTCTGCTCTGTCTTCTTCTGGGCTCGTTTTCCCGTTCTCTTCTCATCCCTCACGCATCTCCCATCCTCTTTCTCTCTTGCGTTCGGGTCTTTCTTGTCTTCTCGCTAGTACCCTTGCCTCTTCTCTCCCATCCCTTTTCTCCCTCGTTCTCTACTTTCTTTCTTTCTCTTTCTTCTCCTCTTATTCCCTTTGCTACTTCTGCTCCCCTCCCCTTTATCTCTCCTACTTGCTACTACTTTCTTTCTTTCTTCATCTGACTTCTCCTCCGTTTCGCACCCCTGCGCGTCGCTCCTCCCTTTTCTCCCTCTGGCTCGCGGGCGGTCTTTCGTGCGTCTTCTCCTCCTTTTCCCTTCTCTTCTCTTCGCTCCGCGTTTTGATAACTCGTGCGCTAGTGATGCAATGGTAGCACACTCGTGTATGTCTCTCCACTCCACTGGTAAATTCACATGCACCGTTTACAACAGCTCATAGTATTCATGCATTACTTTGCTTCGTACTATGGCAATGACATTGCCACACAAACTGCCTAGCAAGTAATTGTCCACTAAACTCCTATCAATTCACAAAAAACCCTGACTCACAATGGTGGAGAAGAAACTACTGCCTCTGAATCTCTTGAGGTAGAACGACAGCAGGAAGGTGCCAAAGAACAGAATGATCGACATGAGAAAGACGTCTGGGTGCAGCCCGTTGCAGTGCTTCCCAACAAACCTCCTCTGGAGCTGGGCACTGCAGTTCACGCCCGGGTCGTCCCAAAAGTAAGTTATCTTTGTGGCGTTTGTGAAATCGTCGACGGCAAATGAATCGTTGGATGCAAACTCGTAGCAGTCGCACTCCCTCTGTACGGTGGGTCTTAGGATCCATTCGTTGTACGAGTAGTCCAGGTGGACCTTCCATACTTTGTCCAGGGCCTCGTAGATGAATATGAATGAGATCAGAGCCGAGAATATTTCCTCCGTGAATCGCGTGAACAACCGCATCATGGCGCTCGCGTTGACTGCAACTAGACTGATCATGAAGATGCTGGTCCAGAGTCCGATCCAGAACCGGAAATTGAGGTACGGGACGTCGTTCTTGGTGGAGTACTGGTAGACAATGTCTTCGAAGATGAGGGTGGGGCCCGTCCCGCCCAGAATGACCAGGGGCTGCCCCGCCGTGAGGGAATAGACCACGTTGCCCAGGGAAACGGCGGCAATCATCTCCAGAGCCCCCTGCAGTTAAGCATGGATCATGTACAGCATAAAATAACGTGTGAATTAAGCAAGGCAGACACACGACTACCGTAATGTGTGCCGAGGGTTAATAATGTGTGAAGCGAGGCAGTACAAAGCGAGGAGAGTACGTACACATATGTACGTATATATACACATGGTCTTTGAAAAAAAACTTTCAGGAGAGAAATCTTCCACCGATTTCGTGGTTTCAGACAGTTTCTCAGCGAACTCGGACAAGTGATCTTATTTCTTTGCGAAAGCGAAAGTGTTTCGCTTAAAGAGTACATTATATACATACACTGGCCACGCATATGTAGCATAGCTCAAGGCACACACACACTCTCTTTAATGTCATCTCTTCCTGTTTAATATTTCTTCTCTCTCCCTCTCTTCCTCCCGTCCGGCTCACCAGTTGTCCATTGGTGATGCCACCAAGAACACCGCCAAAAGTGACAGCTGGAGTTATGTTGGCAAAGAAGATGAAGATGATGGAGGCAAGGACTTGTAACGAGAAGGCATCTTTGATGTCACTCCAGTACTTTGGGTAGCGCCTCTTCACGTCCAATATTAGCCCATGGAATGGTCTGTGAGGCAGGGAGGGAGGGAGGGAGGGAGGGAGGGAAGGAGGGAGGGAGGGAGGGAGGGAGGGAGTGGAAGGAACGAGGAGGGAGGGAGGATGGAGGGGGGAGGAGATGTGGATGAAGAGAAAGGTGTAAGAGAACGGAAGAGCGATGGAAGGAGGATGTGATGATGTGAAAGGGAAGGAAGGATAAGAGGGAGACAGAGACACGAAGAACAAGAGAGAACACGAGGAAAGGAAAAAGAGGAGTGGCGAGAGAATGGTGTGGGAAGGTAGCAAAAGGAGAGAGACAAAGTGCAGAGGCGGAGGGATTCACACCAACAGAAGAGTCCAAAGGGTTAAACGTACATCTTAGAGCAGGTGAGGGAAGCCTTGTGGTCCACCTCGTGGATCTCAGGCTCCATACTCGGTTTGGTTGGACGACGCTCGGCCTGGGATGGCACCTGTAGTGTACATCATCGTCCATGGTCATGCATGCCTTGCTGTTCACACAGTACTGAACCCGCCAAGTTAAGTTTCTACAAACAGTGATTGTTGACTATAGACTAAGTTAGATACGGTAGTAAGAATGCAAGGATCGTCAGTTTTCCGAACCACGGAAATCGCATAGCTCCTCTCTCGTCATCTCTCACTCTATGATCCCACCGAGCGCGGCCATGGAACGGGGCACCTCTCTCGACTCTATGCGTTAGCCCACGCACACGACCCTAGAATTCCAAGTCCACCCTATTGCTTGTCCTTGGATTGTCCGCGCTTTGGTCCAAATTCCAGGTCCGCGTATACACGCACCGTACTACAATACTACGTACGTAGGACATTCTCCAGTAAACAAAACTCTAACTGTAACTTGAGTAAACTTGAGTGTGACGATTCAGATCAGCAAAACAGAACCATCAGGTGTAGGTTGGTGTGAAACTAGCTGTATCTTTTTTTCAACAGAGTAAAGTGAGTCACATGAGGGAAAGTAATTTTAAAATCTCCCTTGCCATAGGTGGTGGTATAGTCACCAGCACAGACCTCAGGAGGGGGCTCCAGTCTGATGTTGGGATCCCACTCCCCAGGAGGGAGGACCGTCACTTTGTCCAGGAACTCGTCGATTCCGGCCAGCAGGTCCTCCCTGTTGCGAGCCTTGTACGCCACGTCGTGGAACACCTGGACCATTACATGACGGGAGATATTGCGTGCAGTCGTGTTGTGTGTGTAACTACAGTGGAACCTCCGAACAAGGGACGCACTGTAGGCCAATATTTCTTCCTTGTGGAGAGGGTGTCCCTACCTCGGAGGTCAAATAAAACACTAGTGTTAGTATGGGGTTGAAACAAGTGTCCTTTGTAGAGAAGTTGTTCCTATCCGGAGGGTCCCTTATCGGAGGTTCCACTGTACATTGTATCACACTGTCCATGAAGCACTATTATTGCACGAAGCACTACTGCAGCATGTATGTAGTGCCGCTATAATTTACATAGTCATGTACACAAACAAAGAGACACATGCAACTACAGTGGATCCATCATACACAGTAAAACCTCTGAATAAGGGACACCCTGGGGAAATAGAAAGTTTATATTTTTTATTCGCTGAGGTTCCCTCGTTCAGAGGAAGTACAGTGGAACCTCCGAACAAGGGACACTATGGGGCCAACAATTATTTTGTCCCTTGTAGAGAGGTCGTCCCTATCTCGGAGGTCAAATAATACACTAAAGTATTAGCATGGGGTTGAAACAAGTGTCCTTTGTAGAGAGGTCGTCCCTATCCCGGAGGTCAAATAATACACTAAGTATTAGCATGGGGTTGAAACAAGTGTCCTTTGTAGAGAGGTCGTCCCTATCCCGGAGGTCAAATAATACACTAAAGTATTAGCATGGGGTTGAAACAAGTGTCCTTTGTAGAGAGGTCGTCCCTATCCCGGAGGTCAAATAATACACTAAAATATTAGCATGGGGTAGAAACAAGTGCCCCTTGTAGAGAGGTCGTCCCTATCCCGGAGGGTCCCTTATCGGAGGTTCCACTGTATTGCTATGGGGCAGACCCAAGTGACCTTTTGGAGCTGTCTGAGGGAAAGGTATCACTGTCATGGACAGGTGGCATGCAGTGCTCTCCCCTAAATTGGATTTTGACTTTTATTTGGATGATTCATGCGTGATGAAACATGTTTGCTCTAACAAAAAAAACCGCTGCTGAACACGATACAACACAGTCTATTCTGTAGTAGGTACAGGTCTCCCACCTCGTCACTCATGAGTGTGGCAATGGAGCGTCCCACTTCGTGGTAACGCTCCCGGTTGCCCTTTGGACCCAGCATGAGGAACAGAAACCTGGTTGGAATGGGAACCTGCGATCGGAGAGAAAGGGAGAGGGAGAGAGAACAATTGCTCTAGCAGTGCTGTTTTCCTCCATAATTAATTTTGCTCATAAACATTGTACAAACTCTAAGACTTGTACAGTACACCGACAGACCTCGGTGATGTCTCCCAGTAGGACTCCCTCCTTGAGCCGCACGAAGGCGATTATGGCATGATCAAGAAAGTCCACCTCACCCACCAGGACATTGCTGGCCTCTGACCCCGGCGGGATCTTCTTCATGAAATGAGTATCAGGCTGGGGAGAGGGAGAGGGGAGAGGGGATCAGTTAGCATGACTACAGTGGAACCTCCAAACAAGGGACACTATGGGACCAATGATTTTGTCCCTTGTAGAGAGATGGTGCCTATCTCGGAGGTCACTAAAGTGTTAGCATAGGGTTGAAACAAGTGTACTTTGTGCCTCTGAGGTACGCAGAGCACGCGGATCGATCAGACGGTGGTAAGCCATCCCGTCCGTTGTGTATTTGCATATTGGCTTTTTCGCGCTCTAGCTTTGCAACGGAGCAGTTTCAGAGAAAACAGTTAGAAATTTCTGACCTTCACTGCCTGTTAAGTAGGTCGTATCCTTTGTGAGACGAACAAACACTCGAGAAGTGAGATGTAGAGTAACACACACACACACACACACACACACAGACCCAACTACCGTACAGTCGCTGCGCATGCGCGCCGAGGGTAAAAACTCGGAAAAGTTTCAACCCCTAAAGTGTCCCACCTTACAAAGTAACCTAAAGACTAAAGAGACCGTCTCCCTCACTTTTTGCGGTTTGACATCGTACAAATGATCGCCGCTCTCTCCATTTCCGTTGTCATCTGTTCCAGCTCCACTGCTGTAGTTACTGGCCGAACTCAACTTGCGTCCAAACAGATTCCCACCAGACCCAGGACCATTAAGGGCAGTCACGGGGAAGGTGTGGGGGTGGTTGTAGGGAGTCAGGAAGTTGCTGGTGCTGCTTCCTCCTCCCCCTCCTCCTCCTCCTCCTCCTCCTCCTCCTCCTCCCTCTACTCCCTGGGTCGACTGGCCGTCCACAGAGTCCTGGTGCTCCATTTGCCTACTGCTGGAGGATCCGATTCTGGCGGGAGGAGGGAGGGGAGGGGAGGGGAGGGAGGAGGGAGGAGGGAGGAGGGAGGAGGGAGGGGAGGGGGAAGAAAGGAGACAGGGGAGAGGCGATTGAAAACTAAATTGATTTTTTGGCGAGCGAAGACAATTTTTCGCGGGTATTTCAATTTTTCAAGTGTATTTAGAATCACGTTAAGCGTTACGGTATGAGCAGTGCCTGTCACATACAATCCGGCATTCAGACAACCAGCATTATAATGAAAACACTAAAGTGCAAACCCTCGACACACTGCACATGTGCGGTACCGCTAATTGATGGATTGATATGAGTTTACTCGCGTTTACTCATGGTCTCCACGCTAGTACCTCGCAGAGAGTCTGACACGGGCTAGCTACACCAGTATAGCACGTGGGAGTCGATACACGCACTTTGCTGTGCCTTCTTTTGCCTCCAAGGTACACAGAGCGAGCGGATCGGGTCGAGGTAAGCCAGCGTGATTATGCAATTGGCTTTTTACGTTTGTTTTCACGGCATATCTCTCGAACGCAGTCGCTTCAGAAAAATCACCAGTTTATTCTTCAGACTCGCGTAGCCGTTGGTAGGCCGCCTTGTAGCCGTCGACAGACAGACAGACAGACGTAGTACTGTAACCCTCGCTGCCCATGCACGTCGAGGGTTAATTATTGCAAAATTTACCTCCATATGCAAGTCGTTCTTATGCATCAAGTAAGAGACAAAGTAATGTTCTCACCGTCCAATCTCGGCCATGGAGCGAATGTTGTGAAGTAACTTGTTCTCGTGGTCTCGGCTGTTCTGGTGTTTATGGCGGAGGAGCAGTGCAGCCCTCACCATCTCCCTCTTGTTCTCCTCCATCTGTTTAGTGGTCACCAGACTGTCCAACACATAGTCTTTGGATAGAGGGAGGGAGGGAGGGAGGGAAGTAGGGAGGGAGGGAGGGAGGGAGGGAGGGAGGGAGGGAGGGGAGGGAGGGAGGGAGGGAGGGAGGGAGGGGAGGGAGGGAGGGAGAGAGGGAGGGTGAGGAAGGAAGCTCTTATAAGTATAAATACAGAGGGGCTTCCACTTTCTTAAACTTTTGGCTTCCTAATAACAAATACAGCATAAGAGCTAGGCCATATACAGCGGAAGACCACACGAACAATTATTGAAGACAAAAAAGTAGCAATAAACATGTAATGTATAGTGGTGCTGGTATGTGTGTACAGAATGCTGCATGCATTGCAAAGTAAAATGAAAAGCACTAAAGTGCAAACCCTTGGCGAACTGCGTATGCCGGTACCGCTATTGGATGGGCTGAGCTATTGGCGTTTACTCGCGGTCTCCCGCTAGTAGCTTGCGGAGAGTCTGACACTGGCTAGCTACAGTAGTAGATAGCATGAGGGAGTCGATACACACCCTGCTGTGGCTTCTTGTACCTCCAAGGTACACAGAGCAAGCGGATCAGGTCGAAGTGAGCCAGCATACTGCGTTAATCGCGTCTAATACACGCATGTGCACCGCTTATTGAAGGGTGTTGGGCCACGCAACGCTGTCCGCGACCGTGTCAGTTTGTCGCTCTCGAACGCAGTCGTTTCAGCAAAATCGCCATTTTATTTTTCTAGCCCATGTACCGCTAAAGCTGTTGGTATCGCTCATAAGCTGCCTTGTAGCCTGTAGTGCGAGAATAGTCGTAGACAGACAGACACACAGAACGACTACAGTAACCCTCGCTGCGCATGCGCGCCGAGGGTTAAAAAGTAACTGTAAAGCAAAAGATCAAGCAAAAAAGTGACGTTGCTGGATGAACTCGAACCCCACGACACTCTCTGCTCTCTAGTACAATGTCGACATGCACAATACATTTGTTGTGATAAGCCTACACAACGTGATTTGTCATTCACTATTACATACAAGGCTGAATCTCAGACCAGGAGCACAAGCACAATCCAGGAAGTGCCACAATCTATGTATTGGTAGAGAGAGACTCACCAGCAATTTGGCCCAGGTCACTGGCCTCCAGGTCCAACAGAACTGTTCCCTTCAGAATGCAGCTCCGCAGCTCAAACAGACTGTGCAGAGAGAGGGTGGCCACGTGAGGCTTGCTCCATTTATTGCCCCCCTCCTCCACGTCCTCCTCGAACTTGACCCAGCGAGCCGTCTCCTTCCACTCCACTCTACATGCAGTGGGAGATTGAACACATTTCTTCATAATAATAAATCAGAGTTTGCTACACAAAGGTCACGAAAGAACGGAAGGAACAAATGTTATCATCGTTATAGTTTAGTCACAGTAAAGTATAAGGAACGGGGCTAGGGGTAAGTAAATAACACAACCCGCATGGCCGTTCAAATTAAGTGACGGGTTTCTGTGCCATAGCACAAAGTATTTGGGGGTTGGCTTTGCATAGTGTTGTGTTGAGCCTTTTGCCTTTGCATAGTGTTGTGTCGAGCCTTTTGCCTTTGCATAGTGTTGTGTCGAGCCTTTTGCCTTGTCTTGTGTTGTGTTGAGCCTTTTGCCTTTGCATAGTGTTGTGTCGAGCCTTTTGCCTTGTCTTGTGTTGTGTTGAGCCTTTTGCCTTTGCATAGTGTTGTGTCGAGCCTTTTGCCTTTGCATAGTGTTGTGCTGAGCCTTTTGCCTTTGCATAGTGTTGTGTCGAGCCTTTTGCCTTTGCATAGTGTTGTGCTGAGCCTTTTGCCTTTGCATAGTGTTGTGTTGAGCCTTTTGCCTTGTCTTGTGTTGTGTTGAGCCCTACCCTACCCTACCCTATAGCTCAGTGATAGGGCACTCTGTCCAGAGAGAAAGAGTCACCAGTTTTGATTCCACCCAGGGGCAGTGGCAGCTCTGTTTTCATGCCATTGATATGCACTTGCTATGCGCTGACACCGTGATTGATTCAAGTCAATAGACGGTGGAATCTAGGGAGTGCCATGTACTACTACTTGGGCATAGTATCTGTGTGCACAACAACACCTTGTGGTAGCATTTCTTTGAAAAGTTCCTGTATTACAGAAGAAGTGGGAGTTTTTGGCAATTCATCCTCCAAACATATGGAGTTGAGTAGTTTCTTTGACCACTAATGACTCATTAACCTTGCCCCCTGACCCATCACTCCTTATTACTCCTCTGGCCCTGCTTCCCTCAGTTCCCTAATTTACTCCCCTCTTTCCTCTTTTCTATCCTTCCGCCAATCAGAGCCTCGGCTATTCCGTGAACCATCATCTCTAACTCCACCTTTCTTTCCTTCTGCCCACTTCCCTGCCTCTCTCTCCCTCTTATCCCCCCTGCTTCCTTTCCATCTCCCTCTCTTTCCCCTTCTCCTTCCCCCTCTCTTTCTTCTTCCCTCTCTCTCATTCCCCCCTCCCCCATGTTGTTCTCCATGTCTTTCCCCTTTTCCTCTCCCTCTCTTTCCTCTTCCCTCTCTTATTTCCCCTTCCCTCCTTCCCCCCTTCTGTTCTTCCTCCTTTCCCCTTCCCCACTTGTTATGGTGGCAGCGAAGTTCCTCCAGTTCAGTGAACATAGTGTGTGACTCCTTCCGTCCCTCTCCCGTCTCTCCCTCCCTCTCTTCCCCCTCCAGAATGAACTTGACCCGATCGCAGGGGTCAACCGGAGTCCTGGGCTCTGCGGGACAATATCAGGAGACTTTTATCATCAGGACAACAGTCAGGACACATTTAAAAGACATGTTCATACACGTATGTAATCGGGACAACAATATAAGGACACGTTCAATCAAGACACGTTTAAAATCAGGACAACAATCAAGACATGTTTAAAATCAGGACAACAATCAAGACACGTTTAAAATCAGGACAACAACGTTTAAAATCATAAAAACCAATCAGGACACATTCAACCGAAAGCATGACATGTGCATCACATATTGGACACATTCATTATCAGGTTTACCAGTCCAGTAGACAGAAACAATGGAAAAAAGGAAACCACTCACAAAGAAACAGAAAGAACCACTAGTGCTAGTCAATACTCAGTGTGGAAACAAGGCTAACCAGTCCAGTAGACAGAAACAATGGAAAAAAGGAAACCACTCACAAAGAAACAGAAACAACCACTAGTGCTAGTCAACACTCAGTGTGGAAACAAGGCTAACTAACCAGACGTAGAAACAGTATGAAGTGATGACCTACAATCAGGACAATTTTGTAATTTGTACGCTGAATCTCTTCAAGCACGGGAAAATCTTTTCTTCAAGTGTATGTATACTGCTTTTGCGAGCAAATACTGTGCGTAATTGATAAGCTGTACTTGTAGAATTTCGGACACTTTGTACACGTCGGTAGCACATGCGTGTAATGCATATGTACATATGTATGTACAGGTCCACCCCTCCACATTACTTTATAATTCCTATTCACTACACGTGGAATACACTGTACGGGTGAATGTGAAATCAAGACAAATCGAAGGAACAACAACACAACTACAGCAAGGGCAGCCCTTTTTTCACAATCCTGCCCGACAGCTGGGATTCAAAGGACACTCTGTATTCTAGGTGAGGCGCTCTACCAGCTGAGCTACCAGAGCAACTCAGCTGGTAGGGGTTTAAATCCACAACACCTACAACGCAGGATGCAAGACAAAAGCAAGCCTCAAACACAGTGCTATGATATACTCTCACTCAGCATGTGTTTTGTTTGGGTGGAAGCATGAGTTGTACACATGACCTGAATGAATTCTGCTAGATCAGCAACGCCTCACACTCACAATAACACACTTATGAATAATGGATGTACTGCAAGATGTACATATTAGCCTCACTCCCAGCTATGGTTGCACAATCATCACAGTGGGAGAAAGCTAGGAACAAGGGTAGTCAGGTACATATAATGTAGTGATAACATACACATTGTACGTACTGTATGTTGCCAATAGTGACTGTCTGTCTATGTATCTTGTTTTCACTACTATGTATGTCCTTACCATGTGTGCATTCAACGTTTACCTATGCATATTATGTTTACGTAAAATACCAATGTAAATACTATGGATACAATATACAGTAATATACAGTTAAATACTAGAAACCTGGCTGTGGGTCCTCCTCTTCATTGGCGTGAGAGCTGTGCTTCTTGTGATGGTGGTGATGATGGTGCTTGTGCTTTTTGTGCCGGTGCTTCTTGTGAAAGGTGTAGGGCATGTGAACGGCAACAAAAACATTCCGATGACCTGGAGCAGGGGAAAGTGGCACACATGTACAATAAGCCATCTCTATCTCTTCTCTCTCTCTCCTCTCCCTCTCTGTCTCGATTATGTAGAATTACAAAGTATATGGCTCCATAGAGCCATCCTTTCTCTTTCTCGTTTCATTTATCTTTCTTCAGAGGCAGCTATGAATCACAAGGTGTCAAATTAACGAAACCCAGTACAACACTTTTCCAAGGAAAGAGAGCTACGTATACATGTGTATCTACCATGAGTGGGACTCAACCCACAACATAGTACTGACTGCTCTCATGTGAGGCTAAAGAAGGAAGTTTGGAATCTAAATTCAAAGGGTGGAAGGAAGGGAGGGAAGAATACATGAATGCATGCAGTGGGGAAGTGAGTAGCGTGTAGTCCCACAGAATGCATGTAGACAGTATGTGCATATAGTGGGCAAGAACACAGGATATGTGCGCGATACAGTGTGGTACCGGCACTGGCTAAAAGGGATTGACAGGGGTTTTGAATAGTCCCACTAGAGTCAACACGGGTTCACACCACCACTCAAACAGATCACACAGACAATGGCCGCACAATGTAAGCACTATGCAGTTTCGCATTTGCTGCCCCCACACGAGCCCTCCCCGCCGCGTCGATATCACTGCAACATCACAACGATCTGTTAGAAGAAGCGTAGAACACACACAATATAATGCTAGCTGCCTACACTGACAGGTCATTGTTCAAGACAGAAAACACAACATGAAGATATAGTGTCAAAAGTAGTGAATAGAGAGAGTCATTTTTGAACACCAAATCACCCATTGTCACTAGTAGGTTCGTTCACTCCCATTTCCCACTATATATAGGTACAGTGGTCTTTCTCCAAAACAGGCTATGAGGAAACTAAGTTCTGTTTGTTTCAATCCCATTGCTAAAATTTCCCACTATATAGGTACATATACAGTGGAATTTCTCCAAAACAAGCTATGAGGAAACTAAGTCCAGTTTGTTTCAATCCCATTTCAGTCCTCTGCAGAGTTATAATATCCCAGCGTATCCACACAGAGGTTGCATTGCAGCCTATAATTGTGTGGTCTGCCATAGTGTCAAGTCAACCACCTTTACACTTGGCAAATTCTTGCAGATATTGAGTCACACAAACTGACGTCATGTGATATCTTTTCACGTACCCCGACTTTCACCTCATGCCAAGTCTCCATCAATAGTATTACATAATGTGGTGAATACTGTGTCTCACGTGTGGTACGATGATGGTAACACAGACAAGTGTGACAAGAGGGGAGGAAGGAGAGAGGGAAGGCAAGGAAGAGAGACTGGCTCATATGCGGCCAACAGAAGCCCACGGTATAACTATCTCTACAGCAGTGCAGGTCACACTCCCAGAATATCCCACGACAGCAGTAATGCAATAAATACCACACCACAAATACAGTTGTGTACTGCATATATACACATTTCATGTGTACGTATCAGAGAACAAACGGAGGGAGTGAAAATCTGTTAATTTAATAGAATGAGTAGGGGTACTAAACCATGAACTATGCGATCAAAATAGTACTTCATTGGGCGAAAAAGAAGTGCACAAGGACCTTTGTGGGGGTGTGCATGTGGCATCACATGGTTTTTTCTACATGTGTACATACTGAGGGCAGTGGCAATACACAATTGCAACAAAATACTTGCACAGCCTATGTCCCATTAATCGTCCTATACAGGCAGAAGAGCCTATTGTTTGTCCAGACTCCAGCAGACAGTGTAATAATTGTAGGGCCGGCCTGGCCTGGCCTGGCCTGGCCTGAATACCATTACGTGGGAGAATGCCTGGACACACATATGGTAGACATGTGCTCCAGTTAATCAGTTTCACTAGTACTCCTTTCTACATCCTACACATGTAGGGCATGTCCTGTCCACCCCACTTACACACTTACATAACTTCTTGATAACTACATACGCTATGAAGAATATTTCAGGAATATTCCATAATTATAGTTGGATCTGTTTCTACGTGCACTCAAGTGCTTTTGCACAAATACAGTTCTTCTTTAAATTTTTGGATTTTTAACGATGAACAAAACTACCCTATCATAGTCCCACGTACACCCAATTTGCCGTTCCCTACCACATTTGGTGGTATCAGTTTTTTAGTCGATACACCTCGGCTAGGATTGTGTACATTCACAATCACTACCGTGTGAATACATTCACTGTTGCCATAATAAGGTGTTTTTTTTGATAAATTGAAAGCACAATGTTTTCCACAGACTTATACGTACATTATTGCCCACAAATATGTATATTCGTGATAAAAGGCAATTCTTCCTGCGAGCAAGCAGAACGTGCCGAGGGTTTGCATGGCAGAACAGTAGCTGAATCGCCAGAGGAACACTTTTGTGTGCCAACTTGGCACTCCATTCTGGCCACACCAGCTACGTAAATGTGTGCAGCTATGCTAGCAGTTTTCATCTGCAGAACTAAGCTCCAACTTCATGTCTACAGTAACTAGTCTTGAAGTTGTATATACACATGCATACAGCTGTAACTCTCCCACTTTCGAAGTATACTATCCGGCCCCACCACTAAGAGATTTCACGGTGACGTTTTATGGATGGCGCACATTGCAGTATATAATACGGCAAGCTCGACCCGACCCCGCGGCATCTCATACCAGCGCAGGGGGAAAGGCGGCTCACTCTGATAGTCCATTTCGTCGAAGGAGACGCCCTTGTCCATGGCGGCCCTGGGGTGGTCGTGCAGTGCCGACTGGGGCACGGGGTCGCCGATGGTGAAGGTTGGCCCGTCCAGGTCGTCCCCCGACTCTCCGTTCTCCGTCGCCATTATCCGCTCGGGATCTAGAAATACGGTCCAGCCAGTCTGGTCTCGGTGGTTTTCAAAGGGTAAAAGTGGGGGTAGGTCTGCGCACGCGCACTATGAAGTCACGTACTCTCGATCCGGGGTGAAAGGACGGAGTGTAGTGACGATGGCCTCCGCCTCTTCTAGCGAAGTAAAGGCGATCGACAAGCGGACGGTGCATCAGATATGCTCGGGACAGGTGGTGCTGTCTCTGGCAGTGGCCGTGAAGGAGCTGGTGGAGAACAGTCTCGATGCTGGCGCCACCTGCGTTGGTAAGCAGTAGTTCACCCACCTGCGCATGCGCAAAGCAGTAGTTCACACACCCACACACCTGCGCATGCGCAAATTCTGTACTTTATATGATAATCGATAAGCATGACTCGACTCTGGTAGCTTCAACAGAACAAAGATGAGCAAAAACTGTGCAACCCAGATTATTAGTTGGGTTCACCACTAGCCTCGTTCCCAGGCCTTCCACGCGGGAGAGAAAGCTTGGTACACACCGTTTGTGCATGCGCCGAACATTCCCAAAATTCGGGGAAATCCGTATCACGTTCGGATTTATCCGTGTCCTTAACGTCATCATTTGTATACTCTTGGATACTTCCCGCTACATGGTCAGCTCGACTCAACTGGACAGTACGGTGCTACCTGAAACGTGCATTCCTCATGTCTGTGAACGACTCGCCACCTAACAACACCAGCTGACTGGCCAGTCGCGAAAATTTACCTGCAGGACAGAAACGCCGCGTGCGTATTGGGCACACCCACATTTTTCTTTGACGTGTATTCAGCGCATGTGCGAACAGGCCTTCTCTCTCTCTCGCGGAAGGCCTGGGAACGAGGCTACCAATTAACATAAACTTTGTCCTCTCTCTTTCCTCCAGAGGTGAAACTGAAAGACCATGGGCTGGAACTGGTGGAGGTTGCAGACAACGGGAGTGGGGTAGCCCCTGCCAATTTTGCTGCTCTGACTCTCAAGCACCACACCTCCAAACTGAGTGAATTTGACGACCTCCTGACTGTATCTACGTTTGGTTTTCGTGGAGAGGCCCTCAGCTCCCTCTGTGCACTGAGGCATATACATAGAAATACTGTGTATATAGCATTTTTCTACCACTCTATTAAACTCCAAGAGAATCTCTTTCTGCTTTTATTATTTGAAACCTGTTGCCTGCCTGCTTTTATTCTGCATGTTATTCCAAGCAAATTTCTTTGAATTCCCCAACCCCCTTTGTTCTCTTCTCCCTCTCTCCTTTTCTCCTTCTTTCATATCCTTCCACTATCTTGTGTGAGCAGTTAATTTGCATGAACAAATGAGGAGTGAGTGAATGCCACTATCTTATTGCCTGGATGATCATCGCACCGTCACTTTGCCCCACACTAGACTACAAGAGCAAACTAGCATGACTCTCTCTCTCTCCTTTTCCAACCTCCTTCTCTCCCACTATATACTTCTCTTCTCTTGTCTTCTCCACCCCCCCTCCCACTCTCCTGACTCAGCAGTGATCTAGTGGTGACCACCTGTCACAGGACTCAGTCGGTGGCCACCAGAATAGAGTACGACTCCAACGGCCACATCAAGTCTCAAACAAACTGTGCTAGAGAGGTAGTGACAGTATCTGTGTACGTATGCATTGATGAAGAAGACACTGTTTGTTGCCCAGGTTGGAACTACAATCTCTCTTCATAACCTATTCCACTCTCTGCCAGTGAGATGCAAAGAGTTCCAGAGGAACATAAAGAAGGTTTATAGCTGTTTTTATCACCCATTATCTAGTCTCGTACCCAGCAACTCCACCAATGAAGTGTCTGGTAACTTTACAATGTAATAAAGATGTCGTGTCCAAACCGTTCTTCTAGTATGTTTTGAGTATGGGACCCCACCTATGTACCAAAGTCTGATGCATGTGACGTTGATGGGCTGTTCTGTGATCTGATTGGAGATCTCGATTTTGAGGTCTAGGAGATCTCAATAGTTACCAGACTCCATACTTACCAAACCTGTTTTTCCACGTGATGAATGGTGGGGTATGGGCCTTTGATAATCTACGTACCTCTGTGTCATGTGAGCTATGTAGATCCAGTTGCTTTATACTCATCTTTACTCCCCTATTTAATTACTCTAATCTTATTGTGCTCAGGAATTTAGTCGTATGGTGCAAATGCTTCAAGGTTACTGTCTCATCTCCACTGGTGTCCGTATATCTTGCTGCAACCACACCGGAAAAGGGTCTGTTCCAAGTTTTCTAAGTGTGGAGTACTATGTATATGCACTTCAATGCTTACAGCAAGCGTCAGGTGGTTCTTGCAACATCAGGAGGGTCCTCTGTCAAGGAGAACATTGTGTCTGTATTTGGACAAAAGCAGGTATAATTGTACTCCCTCTTTTGTCAGTTGGTGTGGAGTGTATGTGTGTGCGGTGTGTGTAAATGGTAAAGATTATGTTTAGTCCTCATGATTTGGTAATAATTATTTGTGGACATCCATAGATGTGTCTTTTACATTTTGACCTTTGACATGCATGCACGGTCAAACAAATTGTCGCTCTTTGTGCAAGTCACACTGAATATCAGTGGTTTATGGCTTTCATGGAAGTGCATGCGCTCGCCATACGTATGGAAAAGGCAGCATTTAATCTCCTTCTTACAAGTTTTGTAGCTGGGCAAGTTTCAGTTAGCCACCCCCTGGGTGAGCAACAACAGTTGGTAAAGAAGGCATCAAGCAGGGGTAAAGTACCAATTGGCCCATGACCTCATACTCGTAAGTATGGCTATGCTAGACTAGCTAGATACCCTGTGCATCGTCAATTTGTCACTAGCCCAGGCTGTACTTTCATGACTATTTTTGCTTGTGTAGGTCAGTGCGTAGTCTGTATTTTAAAAAAAGTTTGTTACAAGAAACTCCTGTTTTTGAGATGGTTCCCTGGTGATCACTTTCATGCATTAGAATTCACTGTAGCCGGAAAAAAACCTTGTGCACTAGCCTTTCACCATGTGCGTACATGTGGGTGCACACACTGCAAATTGGCGATGTCAACTTGTTTAAATCTACCAAAAAAATATGCTACATGTATGAAATTCAATGTTTGATGTTTTTGTCTCAAATATGCTCTCCTTGGCTACTTCAGTTGATTCATGAACAGTCACACTAGTATTGGTGCTATTTTCAAAATTTAGTTGGGATCATCACACTAGTACTCTGTGGTGGCCTCCTTATTAAATGACATAATTATCAAGCATAGCTCATCATTGTGTAGTTGAGTGGTGTACAAACGGTGGTATACCGATTGGGACCCATCTTTAAAGAAACACGTGATGTTGCTGCAGGCAGTTTCTTACCATTAGCCATTCCTAGACTGTCAACCTCATTCAGACGTTTGAAAACATCGCAACGTGGATGGTGGTACCTGACAAAAATGTACTTGTCACTTACGTGCACTTTGACAGGACTTATTGCTTCGAACCAGTCCTTTTGGTTTCTGTCTGTGCTTGCACCATGATGAGCCATTTTGTAATGAGAAAATTTCAGTAGTTTGCTGTGATTGTCGGCGAGGTCCGTAGCTCCATATCCCTCCATGTCTCCAGGAAACAGAAGTTGAGACGTTTCTTACATGACAACTTCATCAACATTCCCATCTTTTTTTCCGTCTTTTTTCCACTTTCCAGCTTGGAGTTGATATTATGATGAGCTAACAACATTTTTAAGAGTCCGTTTGTAGTCTGTCATCCTCACAACTTGAGAGACCAGAATTAAGATACATGTTTATAGTAGTATTGGCATTCCTTGAAAGTCTTGCACTGCAGTAGCTTAATGAAATAGACATTGCAGTAGTAGACATTGAAACACCCTAGCTAGCAATGTTACTCGGAACTCGTGTTTGATGTTTGCAGCTACAGTTGTGTGTGGAGCTGAGGGAGTGTGAGAGAGAAGAGGTGGAGGTGGGAGAGGGGGAGGAGAGTGACCCTGTTATCCAGGACGCTCTCAAATCATTCAGGTAATTTGAGCAACTCGCCTTTGAAATTCCCACTCACAATAAAAGAACACTCTGGTTAAATTGGAGCACCTTTTCTCGTATTATTGTAGGTAGGATCTCGCGATGAGACTGGCTTTATGTTGTCCCCTATAGTGATATGAATAGGTGTTCGTTAGCCTGAGGGATCATATCTAGCTACCTCCTACACTGTGCCCTTTTTGCCCATACTGCAAAAGGTGTTGTTACGTCAAATCACACTATTCATGACACCGTTCGGATGATGCAACCTTTTGTTTATAAAAACCAAGCATTTCTCGTGTGCAGACCAGAACATGGTGTCTCTCCATTTTGCAGACTCGCTGGCTATGTGTCTCGGTGCGCACATGGCAGTGGCCGCAGTACAGTAGATAGGCAGTACTACTACTGCAATGGCCGGCCTTTCGAGCTCCCTAGAGTACGTGAGCTGCCGTCTCTCTCAGTCTCTCTGCTTCACATGTCTGCTGTCTTCATTCTTTCCTTTCTGCTTGAACCAACTTCCCAGAGACTCATGTGTTACTGTCTTACCTCTCTATCACCCCTACTCTCCCTTATTCTACTATAATTATGTATAATGTATCAGCAATGTCATGAATGCCATGAATACACACAATTGATAGTTGCATCATACTTGTGTACAGCAATAGTGGCAAAGTACAGTGTGCTTTCTATGCAGCTCTCCAAGACAGTGAATGAAGTCTATCACACTTACAACAGACACCAGAGCCCTTTTGTTGTGCTAGACATTCAGACCAGACGAGGTATGTACCCCATCGCTTAAGCACAAGCATTGAAGTTTTTTAGGCCCAGACTACATGTGTTTATGCCTTTTGTTCAAAATTCGAACCCCTACCAGCGGGAGTTACTCTGGTAGCTTAGTTGGAAGAGCGCTTGTCTGGAAAATGTAGTGTCGTGAGTTCGAATCTCACGCAGGGGAGCTCTTGTTTTTTCCATGACAAATAATCTGTCCTGGGTCACATGCACAATAGCATCACTGCACACACAGTGCTAGCAAGTGGCACAGCACCCAAAGACCAAAGTTGAAATTCAGTTTTCAGTTCATTTAACAATTCTTCTTCTTCTGTTCATTTTCACCCTCGGTGTGCATGGCCCCCTACGATAAGCGTATTATCTTCCTTCCCCATAATAGCTGGGTTCTATTTGCCTGCTCACAAGCACCATTTGTACATTGGTTTAGCCTTAGCTGTTATGTTAGCAATACAAGCAAAGTAACTACTTTTAGGGGAGTGCTGTTGTGTATCACCGTTTTCCAGACCATGTTGATGTCAATGTCACACCGGACAAGAGGAAGGTTATTTTACAGCAAGAGAAAGCTCTACTACTTCTAGTGAAGGTCAGTGGCACTAAAGTGAGTATCCTACTGTGATCATTGTGTAAGCCTATCTCTTCTGGATGATTTTTCTCTGTAGCCTATATAGCTCTGTCTGTTAGCGCTCTTGATCTGTTTTTGTATGAAGATGTAAAAGCTGGTATATACACATTGTTTCCCTGAGAATTTATTGCATGTTCAGCTCAGCTATTGCACAATAAGCACATTCAGCACATTTTTTTATAAGTATTCATTAATTGTTTTTTCCGGTGGTTCATTGAGTATGTCAGACTTCAGGTGTACACACAGTAACATACACACACCATTATTGCTCACACCACACCCCATTATTGCTTCACAACACCATAATGTATGAATTTGAAACTCAAAAGGAGTCTTTGGTGTCACATGTCCAGCATGTGGTGTCCTTATTTCACCAGTTAGGAATGGTAGGGATGAGGTGACTCAGTTTGTATAAAAACTCTCTCCAAACAACTGCAGGGATCACTTCATAAGATCTACCGCTCCATGCAAGGAGAGTATGAGGCTACTTCAGTTGGTAGACAACCTGGTCCAGGGATACTTGCTTCAGGTTTGCCTTATTCATGAGGATGGTTTTGGCTCATGGTATATTGTATGTGTGATGGATAATAGCATATCATGCAGGGTATCGTTTATAGTTAGCCTATGATGTGTCCACAGGTGATCAGCAAGTGTCACCAGAGGTCCCACTCCATCCCCCTCCCCCTCCCACCTCACTGTGGAGCCGACTACCATCACTAAAGAGGCAAGTAATAGTAATAGCGTGATGATGCATGTAGGTCTACTCTCTGGTGTACGTATTAAGTGTTACCTGAAGAGATCGTGAAAGTACGAAAGCTGAGAGAGGTAATCACATTTCCTGAACACTTGAGTCAAATAACGAAGTTTGCGTGCTACACGACAGAAGCTAATCCAAGTATTGAATCAGCTCAGAACATTGTTCACATGCTTTTATCAGCTGCAAGACGAGGAACTCACACACTCAGTTCTCTTCAGTTTTGCCCGACACAAATTGTCCTGCATAGAGCTGTCTCTACAATTGACTCTGCCGGCAGTCTCAAGTGGTGTTCTTGCCAATGTAGCTACGTAACGACTGAGTAGCAAGTGTTGTGAACGTGAGTTGTACTGTGAATGAACAGGAAATGTGTTGGCTGCTCTCGGCTTCCGTAGTCTGAAAGTATATCTTTACAGTGGCTCTGGCAATAGGGTTGTCCCTGTCATCAACTTACCTTGTGCAATAGGGTCGGTGTAGCTATATACCTTTTGGGCTTCAGCTTTTAGCTCACATGTCTCAGTGTTGCCACCTCTTTGCAGCGTGTATCGTGGTGTCAGGCAACAGAGTTCAAACTCACCATTGTGGTGCTCTACCAACTTAACCATGTATCAGTCAAATGGGATTTATATATCACACTGTGCTCTTCAATTAGGAAGTATTAGGAATGCAAGCCTTGTGGTTACGTAAATAGCTCAAGCATGAGTCAACAATGCACATACACATTTGACATGCTATTAGTTCTGGAGAATTTGGTACACAGCAGCTAAAACATCCATATAAGTCCAAAACAGTGACCGTGCTGGGGAGTTGGGTCAGCCTATATAATGCTCGGTCTGCCAATTCTTCAGACCTTCCAGTCATGAAGACTCTGAGAACGGTGATCTCTGCTCCAGTTCACCTAGACCTAAACGTATGTTGATTTACTATTTGCTTTTATGGTACTGGTAGGTAGTAACTTTGTGGGGGGAGTATACTGAGACTGATGAGATCTGGTAATAGGGGTTTATCCCTGGGGCAGTTAATCAATTAAGTTAATCATCATTACAGAACCAAAGCTGTTGGACTATGGGATAGAGAAAAGAGAGCATGGCTATTCACATGAGACCAGAAACAAAGATGAAGAGAGTTTTAATCACAGGAACAAAAGCTCAGTCTCAGCTTCACCTTTATCAGGAGTTACTACAACGGCGTGTAAGTGTGTATGTGTTTATACTCAGTCTGGGCTGTTCCTCCCTCTTCTCTCTCTGTTTACCTCTCCGTCACACTTACTGTTCTGTTGTCTTTACCCACACCCTACCTTCAGGAAATCCACTGAGTTAGAGACTTGAGTCAAAAGAACTTGGCTACTATGTGCATAATTATACAAAATGCATTTTGGACATAGCACTACTGATAGCTACTTCTACACCAGGGCCAGTCTTGCATGCATGGAGGGATAGGTGGCTGTATACCTTGCTTTTCCTTCCCCCTCTTGCCACCTTTGATTGTGTCCTTATGAAAGTGCCTATTAGGCAAATTCACCTTTGTGTTGCAACACAGCTCTGTTAGCTATGCATGTAGTGTATCATGCCTCTCTGTAGCTACAAGTCGAACTAATGACTGGTTGAATAGTCAGGAGAAAACCACAGAGTCATGCGCTTGGCAGGGCAGTTGTGATAGGAGCAAGACCACAACAAGGAGAGAAAGTGCGGTTTCGAAGGTATGCCTTTGTACTCTGCTGACGTGGTCATTCAGGGTATTGCATCACTTACCCGGTAGTCACGAGATGCTCTTGGAGCAGTAAACACTTACCGTTCATAGGGGCCTGCAACACTGGTGGTTGGTCCTGTTTTTCATGTGTGAAAACTGCAGGGTAGTGTATGAGCCAACCTATTATTGCCCAAGCTGTTGTTTTCCAGTTTTCCTTGCATGTATACATAGGTGCTAACAGATATTTCATGTGTAATGGGGATTTTTAATCTTCAGGGTCCATTGGCAGTCTTTGTTTGTCAGTCTGCTATTTATAGATCAGGGGTCTGTGCTAAATTTAGGGTTTGGTACACTACAGTTGGACTAGAACATTTTCAGTTAGTTTTCATGCTTTGGTTGTTCTATTTATAGATGTGCTAAGTTTAGAACAGTTGGGTTGAGCAGGAATAATGTTAAATGTTTATGTGAAAACTTCCCCAGAGCACTGTCTACTCCATATTGTGCACAGTTTTTGTTTAAAAAAGGTGTCTGTAATATGATGGCTTTGCCTGGCTTGTTAGCCAAGTACTGTATAAAACTTTCATGTGCCAACTGTCAGCTGACTGGCAATGTAAGTGGCCAGTCAGTAATAGTCTCTTCCCGCCCACCTTTTCCCATCACTACATGTGTTCTCCCTCCCTTCTCTCTCTATCTGTCATAGACCAATGTAGGGAGTGTGAGAGAGCACACAGTGTGTTGTGATGTGAGCCTCATATCTCAGAGGTTGAGGGCAGGACTTGGTGGTGTGGGGGAGGGGAAAGGTGGGGTGAGGAGTAGGAAATTCAGGGCCAGGATAAAACCTGATGAGAACCAGTCTGCAGAGCAAGAGTTGCGCAAACAGATCAGGTATAATATACATACATTATGTAGGGTATTGGAAATAACCAAGAATGTGCTTTTGCTGAGTCATTCACAATAATACGTACTGCATTGCTCGGTCATGCATCAATAGTTTTTGTTATTCTACTACTATTGTCATGTGTGGGTGCTTTTCTGAGAAATAACGGGTTGTTTCTCTCTCTCTCCAGTAAGACGATGTTTGAGAGGATGCACGTAATAGGCCAGGTAAGAAGAATGTGGGCATGTTGTGTGTGTGTGTGTGTCAAATTAATGAAGGAGTACTTCTAACTGCCATAGTTTTCCTTGAAGTTGACTGAACTTCTCTTTGTGTAGTTCAACCTTGGATTCATCATCACTAGATTGGATACAGACATTTTCATTATTGACCAGGTATAAAATAATGTAGCCTCGCACCATGGCTCTGGGGGGGTACTCACTGTTGGCTCATAAGTTTACGGCATTTGAATACGGTAGACAGAGAGCTTTTCATTCTCATACACCTTTTTCATTACTGACCAGTTAACCTCGTACCAGGGGAGAAAGAGCCTGATATTCACTGGGTGCACGTGTGTGCTATTGGCTCCTACAGTGTGTGAATCCAAGGGGCGTGTGCAATGAGTTACTGTGCTGTTCTCAGCCATAGGCAGCTCTTCTGTTGGGTCTTGTTTACGTGCTAGTGTGTGCACAATATTCCTCATGTTTACAGAAAATATTGCATTCCCAAGAATTATTATGCACATGTGGAAACCAGTCTGGGTAAATATGATATTTAGCTTGTTAGGTTTAATATCACACTCAGTAGTGTATGCATTCTAATAGCGAGTATTCTACAATGCTGGCATTGCAATACACTGTAACCTGACCTCATACCAAGACCCTCACAGCTCCAGGAGCCAAGTGAGTCTGGCAGAGACTAGACCAGGACTGCCCAAAATTCCATTTGTTTAGCTAAGCTAGGCCAAACCTAGCTGATGGAGGGAAATGTGGAGAGAATGGAGAGGTGGGGTTGGTTACAAAAAACAGCCCCAGGTGGTAAGCATTATAGCAAAGAAATGGTTTTTTGGTATATAGTAATAAACTGTGATATCTTTATTGAACCATATGATGTTCAGTGGGACCCACTGTGTATATCGCTGTCACCTTTAGCATGCCACTGATGAGAAGTACAACTATGAGAGACTCCAGAGAGAAGCTGTTATTGACCACCAGAAACTAATCCAGTTAGTAATGCAGACAAATGTCTGTTGAGATTTCATCATCACTAGCAGGAGACAGTGTGTCTCTGTAGTTATGCTACCCCATGAATATGTGTATGTATATATATATACACAGACCTAAGCTGTTGGAGTTGACAGCAGTCAGTGAGAACATCATCTTGGACAATCTTGAGATGTTCAGAATGAATGGCTTTCACTTCCATATTGACCACAATGGTGAGAGTCATTTCCCGATGTAGTATGTGTCCCTCAGACCAAGGCGTTGTCACTGGAATGTTTTAGGTGTTGTTTGCAGGGAGCCGTCTTGTGTATGAATACCGTTAGCTATTGCACAACCACGTGCAATGTTTGCTTGTATTTTTCATGGCCAGGTATATAATGATCATTGCCAGCCTCTAGTCATGTAGAGCACCATCGGAGCTATTTAGTTGGCTAATTCTGTTGTGTTCTGTGTCTCTTTATCCAACAGCTCCAACACAAAGACTGAGGCTCACGTCACAGCCAGTCTACCGAGGAGTCAAACTTGGTACAGATGGTGAGCTAATGACAATGTATGTTGTATCTACACTTTATTCTCTTCCTTCTTTCTAGAGATAGATGAGATGGTGTTCTTGTTGTCAGACAATCCTGTGAGTCGTGTCACTAATTATGGCTATCAGGATGTGTAATCTAAGAACCCCCAATTCTCAAATGCAGCCGTAGCCATTGATCATGCACCAACACCAACACTGCTCTGCTATAACACCTTCTGTTGTGAGTGGGCCCAGCAACATTCATTTTTGCGACTTGCGGGCTCATATGTTTGTCCTGCGCTGCACGCCATATGTCCGTGGTGACATGAAATCACTGAATGGGACGGTATAGTGTTCTAGAAACCCCATTAATCTCACCCTTCGGTAAGAGCTGTTATTTCCCCTCCCTCCCAGGTAGACAGAAATAGCATTGTGCCATAATACAAAGCCCAACCCTTCTGGGATTCCTCACTGCTACTTTGCTCTGAATTCATAATTATAGATATAAAATCTGCACTCGGTATTTTAAAGGGCCTTCAGTATTGGAGGCGTGGATCATTTTCTTTGTGCCGTTGGCAGGGAGAGATGGTACGGCCGTCAAAGTTGTCACAAATGTTTGCCAGCAAAGCTTGCAGAGGTAGCGTCATGATTGGAAAAGCACTAAGCAGGACTGAGATGAAGAAGGTACAATTAGGACTGTGGCATTCAATAGATGAACCTTCCCTCTTTTTTGCAGCTGGTAGTCCATATTGGATTACAAAATCAGCCCTGGGTGAGGATGAGCTATGTATGATCACCAAATGATTTAATTTTTTCCTCATAGAATTGTCCTCATGGCCGTCCTACTTTCAGACATCTTGTGGATCTTTCTCTTCTATGACTATTGATGACTTTTGTCAAAAATAATAATGAAGCGCGCATGAGCGCGCTAACGTAACAAAATTATTAATTGGTCGACAACTTCCGCGTTTTGCAGTATAGTCCGTCAGGAGAGTGGCACCCGGGTGACTCTTCTCTTCGAGCAGTATGGGTCGAAGACTCCGGCGGGAGGCTATTATATGGCTTCGACGCAAAGGTAAAGTCAAGTAGTAGCTCTATATACCGTGCGAACACCTACTGTAATGTGGCCGGTACGGCAGTGTCT